ATTATAAATTCTAATTAATATCTTAATTAATTAGTTAATATTTTAATATGAAGTAATTATACTTTTATACAAACCTATATTCATATTTATCGTCACTGTATTTTTCAGAATATTGTATTTGATCAGTTGGCATTTTAAATATTTTTATGTAAATATAATCAATTTTTTTCTATTTTCAAACTTATTTTCTCAATAATTGTATATACATATACTACAATAAATTTCACCTTATTTTCGAGAACGTTAGGTGCACTTCGATACTAGATAAATTTGGTACCAGATTCTTTTTTAAAGTCATAACAGGTAGTAATACAAGCATATCCAAACTAAGTTCCCGAATTAGACTCCTTCCCCCATCGACATTGGGCCCCATCCAATGCCATAGTACGAATTAACCCAACGTATAGCGGTGGTGGTTCTATGTGAAATGGCTGCGTATGTCATTCGGTTCGTGTCATTTCACATAAAACCACTAGTGTGCATTTGTGGTTAGTTCTAGAATTTCGGTAAAGATTTATGAGCTCAGTATAGAAGAAAGGACTGGAGCGAGCACTTGAGACGGGACGAAGAATCAGTGAGACATCCAGTGATCACCACTTGGACCACTCAAATATTTGGGGAATGTGAGAGATTGAAAATGCCTCCTGGAGACGTTACAGTATTATCATATAACCTGCCGAAATAAATTGTTACGCTTGTGATCTTCCCGCAGAGAAAAAAAATATAACTAGACAGGAGCCAACCGGCCCGTGCCACGGGACGTGAAGGAATAAAGTTTAGATACCATTTCGTACACGTGACTTGTACGTCCGCATCTGGCAGTCCCTTTTTTGGTATATACATTACAAATTTCGCAACGGTCTCTACTTCGTATGGAACGAGCAAATATAACGAAACTCTTACCAAGGACGAGATACAAAATAGACCTAACACCTAACGCAGTTTCTATCTCACGTCAGGAGATCTATGAGTGTCCCTACCATTTTTGTGACGCTTTCAACAAAACCGATTTAACATAAAATAATATTACAATATTAGTAGTGGTTGGAATTAGAACTAAATGTAACTATGAAAGCTTAGTGCGCTATGTATATTAAGTAAGTATATGGGTAAGTATGTAAGATCTAGGGGGTGGATTCGCATGAGAATCGTAGAATATAGACCTCATGGTTGGTTCATATGAGTTGCGGAGCATGGACGTCATAAAAGAAACGAATTGCCTGCAATTCACGTGAATTCTGTACACAGAAAAATTCACGCCTTACGAATTTCTTTCCTGAATGTTAACGGCGTCATCCGTAGTGAAATGTTGAGAAACTAACATGCCGTCTTGTAGTATTATTTACATCTAATGCATTAATTTGAAGTTCTATTATATATGAATTTAAAAAATTAGTATAGTTTGTTTGGCGAAAGTGATTTAAAACTGAAAAAGAAATTTTTTCAAGTCGAAAATATTTTAAATTTAGTGACTCAACAAAATTTTAGTATTTATAGACAGTTGTAAAATGCAAGATTTTTGTCCATTGTGTTTAAAGAACGGCATAAAGAAGAAAATAAAATTATTTCAAATCAATTTACAAGAAGCTGTACAGATATGTGAAGAAGAAAAGGTAGACTTTCTATGCTGCATTTATATTTTCATATATTAAAATACGTCTACTGTCTATTATTGTAATATTTTTATATTTTACAAGATAATCCT